TTTTACGTCACGCCTTAGTCAAGAGTTCATGTGATAGCGTCATTAATGGGTTCCTATACATTGACTTATTGTCGTTAACACCATTTATTTTCTGCATTTCCTTCCTATGGAGTATGTTTTATTTTTACCTCAATTCTTATGGTCATGCCCTCGAAAAGGAAAAACCACAGTACCTCTTAACTGAAACATTAAGGAGCTTGATTCGGCGATAGAGAGGTATCAACAAATGCATTTTCATTTTAATCTTATCATGAAAAACTTGGCAATGTTTCTACTAATGAAAGGCGAAGGAAAGAAAGGGAGCTGATTCTATACCCTAGTAAAATCGTAGATTACTTCTCCTTGGGTCACCTTTTTAGCTGCGCAGAAAAGGTAATCTACCTCTCAATCCCACGTGCATGTCAAATAGTAAGTAGGAGAAAAACGAAAAATGTGCCTATATTTGGTGAATAAGGAGCCCACACACTACCCCTGAAAGTGTCGCAAAAACATGTCGACATGGGGATCATATTTATCACATCTCAATGAAACTGAGCTGCAGAAACAGTCACACACCAAAGAAAGGAATATCGATGGACATGGCAGTCTCTTTCCATTTAATCAGCAGTAGCACCTCCTGATTTTTATTAACTTTCTACAGCCTTCAAGCAACAAAATCATGTATTAGTAGTTTTCAATTTGAAGCAGACATTTCTGGAGCCCATGATGGCTGGAATGCGAATAGAAATAAATGCTTCATGCAAATGAAACGAAGTTTTTGCACAAAAGGCCTCGACGATTGCTCCTGAGGTTCCCAGGATGATGGCTCCCAACTTCGTCCAGCGGAAATGAAAGAGCAATAAGGTATGAGAGTGCAAGAGATCGTATTCCTTACTAGGTAAGAGACACCTCGTCTTCCTCGCGAGTCTTTGTGAAGTCTTATAAACAACTCTCTAGTATTTGGATGAATATGGAAGCCAACCTTGCATGACTTGTTCCCACTTCCGTGACTCCTTTCGGTCGTTTCAGGATTCTCCATGAAATATGTGCGGCAGAAGACTCTGTCAGCTGCCTCCTTGTATTTCTCAGATGGATTATGTTCCAACGAGAAGTTGCGGTAGACTTCGAGGAGGGCCCGCTCTGCAACTGCCTTTTCTTCTTCACTGACATTCAATATGAGATGAATGAGATTGAAAGTGCATCTCGATGCTCATAAGTAAAATTTGCTCCTCCTCTTTCCTCTTCCGTTGATCAGGAACACGATGTGGGCTTCCCGACCCTTGAACGATGCAGGAGCGTCAACGACGATGGTGCCAGTTTTTCAAATATCCTGCAACTTTCCTCCCATTTCCTTTCTTAGATTTTCCCCATGAGCATAAAAATCCACTGCATCTGCGAGGAGTATTGCGATTTCGAGGCTTTTGAGGCACAGAAGTCTATTTGAAACCGGAGGCCCTCGGTTGCGAAGCAACCAAGTTTCAGAGGTTAAACGAATCGCGTGCGCGATCCTGACCGATAGCTGGGCCGAGCGACAATTGTGCGTTTCCGTGTTTGCGAGTGCTCAACAGGCCAAACGCTTTGAAATATGAACTTGGGGTTTCGACAAAACTCTTCCTTACCATCCGTGGATGTGCCTTTTTGAAATGAAATTTGCAAATCTGTCGCACGAAAGGGAGGGGAGGCAAGTTTAATTAAAAAATTGGTGATTCCCTATCGTCTCGACATCTCTCAGAAGAACAAGGAAACGAGTGATGCCCTTGTACTCGCAAGGGAACGCTCATTGCAGTGCCTCCTGTCTGTTGCCGGGAACCCTGGGATTTTAAGCATCCATGATGAAATAGGGGCGATTTCTTTTTCTTTGCCTCTATTCGCATTCGCTCGTTCATTCGCTTATCCATTCCCATGATCGGATGCCGAGGGTAATCACGAGTCAAATGAAATCTGCAGGCTTCATACGCATGACATCGCCCAAGTAGCAAATAAACGCTTACACGGACCGCATCTGACGTATTTCATTTCTCTGTTTTCTATCAATGACGTTGTTCCTCGATTGAATGGAACACTGAGCCAGTTCCGTTTTACTCATCGATGTTTGTCCGATAGGATATTATGTCAGTGGACCCAATAAATTAAGTTTCCTATGACAATGGTTTCGTTTTCTTCCTAAGGGAACATAGTGCTTTGAAAAAAAGTTTTGTGGAATGTGATTTACTAATTCGGGAATGCAAAGCAATACGTGTGCATTTTTAATCACAAAGTATTCAATGATTTCGGTACTAGAGGGTTGCTCAGCCACAAAAAATACACGAAGTGACTCACGAATTTTCTTTTATTCTCACATTTCTCCTTAGCATGCGCTTAACGTTGACTCATTTGAGAAGCCCTCGTCTTACCTTGCTACTCCTTGAAAGTTGGATGAACAAAACAAAGATCAAAATTAGAAAGCTTTTCAGGCGTGCCAAATCCCTGGACAACCGATATCGACAATGACTCCATGTGGCCCTTGCCCTGAATTGAATCTTCGAAGGAATCGGTTCCCACCGTGGCACATCCTCTCAAAGCTATTCAACTCGTGATCGGCATGTACGGTTTACTTTCCGCATCCTACGCCCATCATTCACTATTTATTTCGGGAGTTTAATCGGTGTTTGATTCCGAATTGAGTGCCAGCATTCCGTAAACACTAAGGATTTGTAGTTAGGCACACAATAAATAATCGGAGCAAATATTTCCATTGAAATATCGGTTCGTTCATTCTCTGCACATATTTCGAAAGCCGAATGCTTTTAAAACGTTTTCCCACTTTACTTTTTTGCCCCCCCCCGACATTATTGCTCAGAGACTTGTTTCGGTGATTCATTTTTCTCCTGTGGATTGTTTGATGATTTGATTCATTCCTCATTTTAAACACCTCGAACGAGCCCGTGACGGTGGTGTCGACAGAAGCGAATATTCTTCGACAGAAGAGGAAACGCTTCTTAAAGTGTTGTTCAAGACCTTATAGGGATATCCAAAAACAAAAAATGCGAATCGATGGACGAGACTGGGGGGGGGGATCCTACACTTTCAATGAGTTTCCTTACACGGAATTACCCTGCGCTCAAGCTGCATTGAGTGGTCGAGGAAGATGTTCGTAGTTTTATCAGCAGCTTGGTCCAGAGGGATTTGAACGTTTAACGTCGAGGAAGGACTGCAATTCCTCTGAATGACTTCTTCCATCGCGTGGGTTTCTGCATAATTGGCCTCGACTGAATGTGGGATGAGGGCTTGGCCTGGACTCAAAAGATCGAGAAGTTTTGTGCATCTCTTCGGGTCTTTTCAGCTGTGAAAATGGGAGGAAAGATGGAGATGGACAGTATCAAAGACGTAGCTCATACGAATGCATGTCGGAAGAGGGACTTACGTGAGAAGCATCACACGCCTCGGACTTGCTTGATACCAAGCAACATCAAGAATCGTGCTCTCGATGAGTCACACAGTCGCCATCCACAAATATCGAGCTACACACACAACGAACGTCCACACCTGACCGATACTGAGATGAATAGTGACGATAACACTAAAGTATATATCATATATATTAGTACAGGATATAAAGTATCATATACTACCCATCAAAGGTCGATATTAGAATAAGTTAAGAATGCTATGAATACGTTTTGCCTTCACAGAATAGCAGAAATCTCCTTGTTGATTGTATGTTTTTTAATGTAATCCATTTGAATTATACAAATGGAAAGCCGGAAGCGGAGTGATAGGTTTGAGATGGCTCATGATGACATTTTCTCTCAGGGATTTTTTTAAATCGTCACATTACCATCATCTCCTCATATTTCGACGCTCTCCAGACCCTTAAGAACCCATCAAGGCTCATTGCGGCGCTAGAACAAAATGTGAGAAAACACATTTTCCCTATAAAAAAGGCTATTTAAAAATTGTGTTCGAATGACCAAAGGAGTACAAATTGTGTTATTTTGTAGCACTAAAAGTTGTTTATACACCACACAGCCGCTTGCCCAAAGACGTCTGCATTAGGCACGAGAATAACGCAGACGCCATGCACGAATGACATCGTCCAGCCGACGAACCGAGTCCCTAGTTACGCTTCGGAGGTTAACGTTCTCGGTCGCATCCGGCAAATGTGATCTCTTCCCGGAAACGCAATTCTTCCCGAATGTGAGTCCAGGCATATTCCAAACATTGAAACGTGCATCTATTTTCGCGTGTCAAAGAATTTCCTCCAAAGAGAAAGGCCGGTTTCTTACGATTCAGAAAGAACGAACTCAGTCCTCTGTTAAACATTTTGGTGTGCCACTCTGGCAGGAACAGGTTAAATCAGGGTGAACTCGCCCATGACCCGAACTGCAATGCACCCTTCTGACAATAGAACCGGACAAATAAACAACTTTGTTAGGTGTTCCACTAGACTGGACGGGATGAATAGCGCGCCAATAATTGTTTTTCACCTGGTTGAATACATTATGAAAACCGTGAAATCTGGGATTGTCTCGGTCACACTTTCCCTCTCTCTCTAAAATATATTCAAGGAGGATTCATTCCAGATTCGAATGTGACACGATGGCCATCCTGGAAGGAAAAACGGAAAGAATTGATAGTTCCACCGAAACGGAAGACTCCCTCGATATCTTGCATTTGTGGAGGAAAGTGGAGTTCTTGGAAAGAAACATTCTGTCTCGGGAAAGGTATGGAATTAATTTTTTCCCCCGTCGAGGGAATGCTCGTTTCTCCGATTCCGCATCACTCTGATTTGTACGCCTGCGTTCGCAGAACGGCCTGGCCCAGCCCGGACCAAAACGTGAACGGAGGGAACGGAAGGATCAAGAGGATAGGCCACGGATCAAACGTGCCTTCTGGACAAGGTACGTGCGGTGCAGAGGCGTCTGCTGACATACGAAACGTAAGACAGAAAACATTATCCTATTCAAACTAAGATGAAAACGGGACATTCTCGGTTGTGCCTGATCCAAGCCCATGTCCCGTTTTCATTTGCCCCTCTAAATATGGATCAGGTGAACTTCCCCATGGCATGGAAGCGCATATGTTCTTCCTGTGACGCACTTTCCACTCGGAATACGAACTTAAAATAGGCCTATGAGGAAATTGTTGCAGGAGCTGCTTACTCCCCTACCGAATATAAATAAACTGCTATCTTCTGGTCGACTGTGAAAAGACGTCAGAGAACGTTCCAACAATCAGGCGGATGTGACAAAAGTCGATGTGATCTTACAGGGTCGGCGTTTTCTCCGAGGATAGACTTTCGGATGACAGGAAGGTCGGGAATACGCCAATTGCTCTGGATCCTGGTCTTATGTGCAGGAGTCTCGCTCACAATTTTTCAGGTGTCTCAACTCTCGCCATTCGTAAGAAAGTTTACATCAAAATATTTATTTCGAATGATACAATTTGGGGTGTTGAGCAGGCGAAAGAGTTGCTTGACTACTACAGGAGTAATCCAACTGCCCAGAATATACGGATCGAATCCCCAGACAGCGTGGCATTTCCAGAAGTCACGGTGTGCCCCGGAGTCACATGGAACTCCACTGCAATCGAAAGCTTCAACCTGACCGATGAATCATTTGGGGACTATGTGTTCCATGGCTTGGGTCAGGGATTGCCTAACATTAGCTTGTTTGAAAGGATAAACTTACTTTCTGTGACTGACATTTCTAAAATCATATTATCCTGTATTCTTCCTTACAATGGGACTAAGTGTGCAGGGTTCAGCAACAGTGACTTGACTTGGATCGATGGTAGTCGGGTCTACAATGTGCCTGGTATGTCCAGGAAACATCCTATCTTTCTTTCACTTCCTTGAATATCATGTAAATAAGGGTATTGGGTCATTTCACAGGTGGATATCGGAGAGAGTCGCGGTTTTTTGATACAGGTTTGAAAGTTTGCTACACTTTTCATGCTAATTCAACAGTTCAGATACCGCTTCCTGCCATTGATCCTGCCATGGAGCTTCATTTGAGTTTCAAAGAATTCTTTTATGGATCTGACCTAACTTCACCTACCATGCATTACAAGATTCGCGTAGATTCCTAGGAGGAACCGTTCACAGCTGCGAAGAACATCAAATCAACGGGGCAGACCTCCTTCCTCACGCCCGGAAACAACCACCGGTTCAGTTTATCTCCGAAGTACTACAATTTATTGCCTTCAGGCAGTAAGTGCAATGGGGATGATTACGACTATAAGAAGGTAATTTCAGGCCAAACCTATCGGCTATCATGTCTCTTCTCATATATATAGATATATTTTATTGTTTTTTTTATTGATGACCAACAGTGCTTGGAAACGTCGTTAGCGAAGGCGGTCATGGAGGAAGCCCCGTGTTTGCAGCCATCAATGCTTCCGAGCAAACAACATCAAGAAGAAATAAAGAGTCTATGTAAATCCTCTGAAGACGAAAATGAATTTATACTTGTTCTACAATAGGGTCTCGCAACGTTCCTATCCGGAATGTCCAAGGAAATGTCAGAGGACATCATATGACATGATACGAGAAGATCCAACCTCTGATAGTGATTCGAGAATCTGCCGGATTCAGATCAACATACCAACATCTGAAGTAAGTTGCTTGTGTTAAATATTTGTAAAATGCATTTTCCGTATCCAGTCAAAGTGATGGGCACCAAGATACCATTTCTTTGTGGCGTACTCGAATGATATTTAAAGCGAAGCATGTCAGCAACCCGAAGGTCTTCATCCAAATGGGAAAAAAAATCCGTATTTCGGTTTCAGGTGGAGATAGTGGAGGAGCAGTCGCTGACATCGCTGGCACAGTTTTTCTCCGACATCGGCGGGATAGTCGGGTTCTACCTGGGATTTTCTATCCTAGGTGTCTACGAATGCCTGGAAGTTCTCGCCGTTTGGGTCAAGTACCGATTCTTCGCGACTCAGATTCCACCTGTACATCCCTGAATTACATGAGGTAAATAGCGGATACCATAGGATTTTCCATGGAATGCACAAAAAGTTATAACTTTTTTCACTTAAGTTATTTTTTTCCTTAGTACTATATAATTTGCTTCATAGTTTTTTTTGGAATGTGTGGAAGGAAATTTAAAAAAGTTTTCAATGCATCAAGCCAGCATTAGACGCCCGTTTTATACCATAATGTCAGGTGAAAGCACCGGAGGATGACTGCATATATTATTCAATAGCATATATATATATCGTATATATTATCTAGCAGCTATCATTTACCAATTGCATCATAGAACGCCTCTGAATTGATGTTACATCTCGTTTCCGAAGTGTTACTTTCACCCCCGCGTTAGTGCTGTTTTCAGTGTGACTGTTTTTTTATTGGAAATCCTTGAAGCATTGCGATGAAGAATAACTATGACAGTGTCAGGGAACAAGGGAGATCAATGAATTTTTTAAAATAGGAATTTCATGTAAATATTCGCGATTGTCTTTCCTGGTTATCATCTTGATGTCAAACCACTTATGTCTCATGAACACTATATAGTAATTGGTAGACAGTCAATGCATTCCTTATTGTATTTCTAGTCAGGAGAATACTCGATGAAAGCGAAATAAAATTAAAAATTGTTGGTGGCATTCCTGCAATATGTGTTGCTATGAAATCAACCAGGTTTTCTTTAAAAGAATGGGTGACATATCTAGCAATGTGTGACCAATATAACCATGTCCGAAGTTATGTGCATTTTTCCCTGTAACGTTTAAAAGATTCTCAGCCCTCTGAGTTTCTTTTCATCATCTCAAAAATGTGTGGGAATTTGTAATATTCTAAACCTATGGAATAAACCCTCGTGCGCATTTTACGACCACGTTCGTGTTTCTTCCATTTCTTTTCCTTTTCAGCATGATACACGTTTTGATTAAATACGCCAGTAGGACCAACATAATAAGGTTGCTAGTGATTGGCGTTTATCCCATTTGGAAATTCCCTGCTCTTTGCCAGCAATAAATTGAATGTGACACGGATTTAACGTTATAGCTTTAGCTTTCTCTCACAAGGAACATTCATGAAGTGTGACCCTCCGATTCTAACCCAAATGTGTTCAAATACAGGAATTAATTATTTGCAACTGTGGATAAAATTTCAAGTGCCATCGTTTCTCCCTTCAGACACAAAAGAGAAACGACCCCATATCCTAATGGTGCACATTTCTTCAGTCTTGATGATTTTCTGGTTCTGTTTATCAGATTCATCATGGCGATCAATACTCTCACTGTTTTTGAGCTTTTGGAGGCTAAATTTCCCCTTTGGACCTATACATCGGGGCCATCGGATTTCGGAGTCAATTTGACATTACAAGAAACTTTTAAAAAAAATTTAAATGTTAATACATATTTTTTTATTTCGAAATTATTATTTTTCAATAATTAAACACTTGGCAATTACCCACAACCAGTTCTCGGCTCCTTGGGTAAATAATTATATCAAACATGCTTGGTTCAAAGCTGCATGGATCAGAGGCCAGAAGCACATACCATGCCATTTCAATATTGCCTCAAAATGGACATCTTTCAACAGCGCTATCAAAAATAATAGGTGATGGTGTACATGATGTGGTCACATTCATGAGATGCTCCCATTGTGAGCTATGCCTGTTTCCCCCCTTTTTATATTGATTTCCAATTGATTGAGATAATGATCTGTTACTTTTGAATTCCCTATATGACGTTTTCATAAGCTTGCGAATATCGATTTTGCTTAGCGATGCTAAACTGCCTCAATCCTTTATTTCACAGACCGTTGTTTCCTCCAAAAATTCGCAGTGAAATCATTTAAATAAGATTAAACGGTAATTGACATGATACATTTTTCTGTCACATTTTAATAACTCATGCAACAAGAGGGTTATATATTAATCCTTACAGGTACCTGTGCACCAAGTTTTAATTCGTCACGCACCACCGTTTCGTGGGAGCGATGTTATTGTATTCCCAGACCACTATAGTGAGTGAGGATATGAGTGAGGCTATCTTATGAGTGATTAATTGGCTTTGCCCTCTGAGATCGTGCTTACCTGAGTAATTTCCGCCCATTTATTTATGGTTATGGTACGAACATGTATTATTTTGCATTACACGAGCACACGAAGAAGCTTTTTATGAGAGACCGCCTCGGAAGTATACACTGCCTGAAGATAACTCTTTGATGTACCACACCAGTGAAATGGCCATCCGTAAGAAGGAGAAATAGAGGAGCCACGAATAAACTAGTTTGGCACGGTAAACCTAGGCCACTCACGATCACGTAAAAGCCATCAATTGTCCAAGCTTGAATGGGTTGACAATGCATACTGTATTTTCTAACAGCTTCTCTACAGGTTGCGCAGTACGAGCCTCATGTGATAAGAGCCGATTCTGGCGATGTCCTATTACAAAGAATAACGTCATGGGTGTCCATCCAAAATTCTCTCATACAATGGAACGAGAAATGATCCATCGTAAAACGGAGTCAAAAGGGGTAGGAGTAACTCAGGTCACCGTAGCACTCTCTGTTTCTTTTTAATGGAACACCGCTGATTAGGTCCCATAGCGTAAAGGAATCTCGTGCACATTGAAGCTCAGATGAACGGGGGAAAAGGCTCTGCAGCATACCCTGACGAACAATCGTTGAACATATTGTAATAGTGTGCCCTCGCAATGAAGTGCTCCTTGAAGCAGCACGGGAGAGAAGACACCCACTGGACGCATATATTGTTGGTGGTATTCGTCCAAAAAGCGGCCTGTGTAGTAATCCGGGAGGGGGTTCTATTAATTTTGAGGGGGGGTAACACAAAACTATTTTCACTTCAGGAAAACCGTTCATCCAGTGGCTATACAAAATGAAAAACTACTAACGCTGTAATGAAAATGCCAAAAAATCAAGAGTTTTAATGACAGCTGATCCGTTCGGCGAATACACACGTTTGAGATGAATTTTGCATTCACTATTATCTACAAAATAAGCTAAAGGAAGGCTATGAATAGTTATTGAAAATTTTCCATATTGAAATTGCAAAAGAGCAAAAGAGCAGAGCACTCCAGTTTATTTAGAGTTTACTTTTCTTCCTATTTAATTTTTGCTGGAAGGAAATGTTTGCTGCAAATTCTCTTCCAGAAACGCAAAGTCAACAGGATGACATGTACATACCCAGGAAGTTTCACCTTAACCTAGCGTTCAACAAGAGAGTATGTGCGGAGTGGCTTGGGTGAGGCCTAATATTAGCTTCTTTGACAGGATGAAGGTCTTTGACGGACTTTTCTTCAGTCATACGGGACTGTAATCTCTCTTAACTCCCTTACGATGGGAGCATATGTACATCGTCCAGTTATACGAGGGGTAGTGACTTGACCTGGATCGATGATAATCGGGTCTACAATATGCATGATATGTCCGGTAAACACCCTAAACACTGTTTACTTCCATGAATAATCTGACAATAAGGGAGTCTGAACATCTCACAGGGGATACTGAAGAGAGTCGAGGATCTTAAATGGCTTTTTGCATGGGTATCTGAAAGATTGCTACACTTTCCTTGCTGATTCGACAGTCCGAATACCGCTTCCTGCCATTGACCCTGCCATGGACCTTTGAATTTTCCAAGACTTTATTGATGAATATGATACATTTTAGGACAGGTCGTATTACGAGATTCGCTTAGATACACAGGAAGAACCGTTCACAGCTGTGAAGAACGTCAATTCATCGGGGCAGACCTCCTTCCTCGCACGCGAGAGGAGCAGCCTGTTCGGTCAATCACTGAAGTACAGCAGTTTCTTCCCTTCAGGCAGTAAGTGCAATGAGGACGAGAACTACGACTACAAGAAGGTAATTCCAGCCCACCAGCCCAACCCTATTGGTTCCCTTGTCCCCTGAAATACCTGAAAACTTGATGAAGTATATATATTAATTGATGACAAACAGCGTTTGGAAACGGCATTAACGAAGACGCTCGTGGAGGAAGCCACATGTTTGAGTCGTCAGTGCTTCCGCGCAAACAATATCAGTCAGAAATAAAGAGCCTATGTACGAGTAATAAGAAAAATTATCCCCTTGGAGGGCTCTCTCTCAGAGAGGGGGAGAGAGAGAGGTAGAGAGTGTGTGTCTTAACTTCAACAAGGCCTCCTACCAGTCAGAGACAGGCCTCCTACAGGTGAGTCAGGGGGCCCCGCCCTTCGCCGCGCGGACATTGCCTTCGATTTTATGGGGGAAGCACAGCCACGTGACCCGATTCATTGTGCGATATGGAATTTCCAATTTTTTTCTCCTCCCCCATTCATTGAAATCTCATCTTCCCATACGTTTTTTTTTGTCCTTTCGCTTTAATTTTCTTCCAAAGAAATATATCGAATTTACGACCAGGAAAGTAACTCGAGTATTGATTGATACTAATTTATTTCATGATGATGATCAAGATACATTTTCCAAAAAGAAGTCCTTAAGAACAGCTACATTATTCTTCACCTCTTAGCACATTGAGGACGAGCCCCATGTTGACAAGGGTTTTCGATCCATGTGTCAAGGACGGAACACGTATAAACACGGACTTTGAGCATATTGAAGAAACAAGTATCTTTTGACATTAATTGGGGGTTTTCGAACCTATTGAACATTTGCTCTTGATTAGAAAGCTTTAAGCTTTGAAGCTTTTAAGTTTGAGACAAATCCATTTGGAAATTTAGGAGCTATAGTCTTTTTAGTGATACGGTGCGTTTTGCAGTTCAATTTGCTGTAAATGCCCCGGGAACCAGGGCTACGGTAACGCATTAGACGATGTGAAGTTGCAGGAAAAAAAAAGAAAATAGAACGCAGTGTAGAACGTGACATGTGGGGTTGATTTCTATGGCAACGCCCCTTCAGTTCAAGGTAAGTCACTCCCCTGTCCCTAGACATTCCTCGATCGATGTACACACTATACGCCGTACATGAGCAAACTCGTGCACGAGTGAGTACGAAGCTAGCTTTATTAGAGTCAGGCTAAGCATTTACGGATTTTGTTTCTGTCATAGCCGACACTGCTTTCCTTCGAGGAGAGTCGCAGTTTCCTAAAGAAGAGGCACAGTCAACGAGGAAATAATCGGGAGCTGCCGAATCCGCGTCGAACATTTCAGAGGACCCTTCCATTCTACGAAGTTCGAACCCTTGGGAACGTCTGGGACTTCGGCTCCTCGTGCAAGCTTCTTCCTGGAGCAGTGGAAAAACCGAAAAATTTACTTTATATCCTGAGTATTCGCCTCATGAGAGCAGATTTCCATTGATCGGCGTGAGAGTTTTCTTTCAGGGGGTTCGTGGATTGTGGATCGAATTCTGAGTCTTGACGTCATTTTCTCTCAGCAAGAACTTGCGAATAAGTCACTGCCATATAAGTCGTCATCTGGCAATCGTGCAGTTTCTTACTTCAAGCTATGTCGCAAATATTCCAGGACTGACTTTAAATGTAAAAAAATCGGGAGGTAATCATTTAATTTCTCTCATGTATGCGTGGAACTCAATTCCCAACTTCCATGCAAGTTCTGAAACGTTCATTTCTATCACGGCGCGCGCAGCATGCTTCCCCGTTGATGTCTGCGTGCGGGCTTGTCTTAGTCAGCTGATGGCCGTTCTGGTTTTGGGTTTTGGTTTTTCACAGTTTTTGGCCGAAAAACAGCTCACTGTCTTGCTTCATGCACCGTATTCGCCGGATTTGTCGCCATCGGAGTTTTTTTATGTTCCCACGACTCAAAAGAGCCATAAAAGGCCATCGCTATGCGCACAATCCACACATTCCCAGCTGTGACAGAGTTGATGAACAATGTTCCCGAAAATGAACTCCAAAGTTTCTTCAGCAGCCTTCAGCGACGCTGGCAACAGCGTATTGATGCAGAGGGAGATTACTTAGATGAAAAGCATCATTAGTTTGTTCGTACCTTCCATTATTTTTTATAACATCAGTCCTGAAACATTTGCGACATACCTTGTATTCACTATTTTTAAATACAATTACGAAAAGAAATATTTATTTCCATAATATTGAAAGGATCAAATGTCACACGTGACACGACTCACAAGGTAACGCGCATGATTTTGCGTGAGTTCTATTCACCGTGGCACTGATGGCGCGTGTCCGTGAATCTCAACTGATATTGAATCAAGGGATTGCATGAAAATGAGTGACAGCATGGTTTTTCTTTCGTGAGCGTGAGTCGACTGCACCTCATGATCACTGGGAGAAATCATCTGGCGCCACTGCGTTGATTTTGGAGGGCTCTCCCATCACTCCCGTTTCAGCCGGAGTCAGTCAGACTGAGGCCGGCTGCCCGCAGATGTTGATGCACGAATCCTTCGACGTGGTGGTATTCCCTCGTCTTTTGCACACAATTCTCCGTGAACACCGCATATGAATCTGAACTTATTTTGTAGATACTGACTTCCTATGAGGATTGAAGTCACACTCCCACATTCGACGCGGAATCGGCTGCCCGATGTAAGGGGGCAACCACGTCCGCTGGGGTCGAGTTGCGAGATGATGGGTCGCTCCGCACGTCATTCCCCCGCGCTGCTGTCGTATCCGACCTCCGATGCTTCGCGAGCGCGCTCGGGTTGGTTCGGCTGGAGGGGCAGGCGGGCGTGTGGTCCTATGGAGGCGATAACGTTACGCCGCCCTTCCATCATCACAGTCGACATATTCCACAGTAAGTCCGAGGCGTAAAGTCAAAGGAACTTCGAGTGAATGTTCAAAGGTAAACAGACTAAACCAGACTCATGGCGACCACGAGGTGCATGGTAGAGGTGTTGGCAGGTATTGGCAGGCATGCTTCCGTATTCAGAAGGGTTGTTCCAATGTTCCCGCGGCACATGCTCCATTACACCACAGATGCGCACCACAGGTCCGCTTTGACCTAGTCCCACCAATATGACTTCAAAATGCAACAGTTTTCCCTATGCATGCAGTCCTCGCCCTCACGACACAATTGGTTACTGAAAGTCACGTCGTATGTCGAGGAATGCCTGTACTACTCCTATGGGCGCGCCATCTCCAGTTCTTTTTCTTAGCTCAGTGGTCCCATCCGACCCATCTTGGAACACGGAACGGAAAATGCGTGCGAGTCGGTGGGTGCAGAGAAACCCATAGGCGCAATGAAAGGCGTTCAACGTGAAAGTTTTAAGATGTGGGATAGGTGCGGAATAGAATAGCCGATCCATTTGCGATTTTGAACTCCAAAATCGACTCTAGCAGAGTCCACGACATAAAGCCAAGTGTTTACAAGAAGCTCATCTAAGCTGGGTGGTCATATGATGAAGGAAGGCGGTGTTGGCCCGTGCACTTCCTGCAAAATTAACTAGTTCCATAGGTTAGTTGTAACCATGCTATCATATTGAACCTACTTTTTAATAGACAGGAATAGTATGCAACCATGACGTGATACTCAGGTACAGGTTTGCGCCAGGGTCTCTAATCAAAAGGTACAATCCCCCATTTTGTAGCTTTGCTAACCCACACCATCACACTGTTGAACAGTTGTTCCTGCAAAATTTTTCGCTTTAGCACTCTGAGCTAAGGATACTTCCTAATATTGACAAGTCATTATTGTGGTATTTTCAACTGAAGCTCTCAGATATCTGAACCAATTGTAGTAGGTCTATCCTATGTTCATGTAGCAGACATAGAAGAAAGTTCTGGGTATAAGTCTAAATGCATCACGCAACCAATCGCAAGTCTTTTGCTACGTCGGGCTGAGGAAAACTCAAATTACTCCTTCATGAAAAGCAAATCATATTGAGCACCTGGGAGTGCACTTAACCTCGATAGCTCGATCCAAAACTTACGCCTTGGGCCAAATGAAAAATGCCAGAGTCACTGCTCACAATAAACTTCCTCTTCAGATCATGGATTTTCACCCAGATCTTCCAACAACAGATTTTCCTCTGCATGACATTTGCATTTTTGGAATGTCATTTGGAAAATGCAATTCTGTATATCACCTGGAGGTATGCTGATCAAAAATGGGCAAAAATGCAGGATAAGTGACTGAATTATACATAGCACTTCAATTCCTTCTGTGGTTCACTGACATAGTGCTAAGTCAATAAATTTTTTGATAACCCCGATGTATAATCCAACCTTCCAGGATGTGGCTAAGAAGAAAAACGAAAAGACTTCCGAAGTGGACCACCCGCCGAATGGTGCATGTGATATATCAATCGCAAGCTCTTGATAAGTAGATTGCATTGGTGCATATTTCATCCGAGAACGATGACGAAAAGAGTCGTAAGTTTAATACGAAGAAGAGTGTGTCGTAGGATAGGCAAGCATGAAGGGCCGTGCACGTTCAACTTGGGTAGCCACATTGAATGGAGAGGGAGAGAGCCCGTTTTCGTTGGAACAGAAAGGCATGTGTGTTGATAGGCATGGATACTGTATACCCCGGGTTCGTTGGTGCAATGGTAGCTATCCTGACCGGTAATCAGGAGGCCCTGATTTAAGTTCCGGCCGTCCTCTGGCTTTATTTTATCCTCTCTCCACGCCACCCCGTGCCCTCGGTTCTCATGATATATGTCCTGTATTCATCCAAAAGAGAAACCCCATTACCTGAATGCACAGTCCTCAAACTTTTCACTCTGTGCTTTGGAGATATTCCTATATACCCTAGCTAACTAACCACAGAGAAAACAGGAGGAAGGCAGATCAAACGAGCCCCATTCCTTCTGTGTTTGGCTAAACGAGCGAGAAAGTCGGCCTAATTTAGGGGATGATAGATCCGTCGGATTAGAAAATAATCGTGGCCGGAGGCCACAACCCTTTCCTAACTCAGCTGACCCAACATTTCCCAAAACAGGTTAACTTTCTCACTCTTTGACCTTTGACCGAACTGGAGGAAAGCAAAATTGAGGTCTATTGACCGTGCCAGTGCGATGAAGGGCTTCACCAGAACAACGAAGACTTGACCAGAAGGTACTAAGGAAATCTGACTCGAGTACAGTGTTAATATCTAAGAAGGTCACAGAACAATTAGCAGATGCCATGGCCTGGGCGGGGCGCAAGGCATCCCTGCTCTTGAATGCAAACGTAAAAGGTAACCTTTATATCAACACATTAATATTACCTCAACTCTGTCAGCTGAAACATATATCACTGTAACCTATTCAGACAGTACTTTCGTGCCATGTATCCCTTGCAAAATTCTGCGGGTGGTCCACTTAGGAAGTCATCCCAACCAGGAATTATTTATGCCTGTTAATAATTTGTTACCACGAAGCGAATCCCGCTGGACGCGGGTGTGGTCTACATTATTCATATTCGCCAGGTGGAGATGGATGAAGAATCGTCCTAATGCGTATTCTCATTGTTATTTTATGAGCAAACACAGCGTAAGGACAGAAAGATAAAAGCATGGATGGAATCGCATGGATATATTTCTAGGTATATCAAAAGGTTCACATGCGCGTTCCCCATATCTATTCCATCATGCAATCTCTTGGGAGCGCCATCACAATCTAGTCCCCAATATCTGGTCCTTATGTTCGCATGTTCCCACTTTATGAAGTTGTGAGCACTATACTCGTAAATTAAAAACTGTGCCTTACTCTCGGGATATTTATTTCTTGTTTTTTTTTAAAACTCTATTCACAGAATGAACGTTTTCTTTAGATGTATTTTTAGGCAAAAAGCCTAATATTTTCCATCACGTATATAAATACATTGAGCGACCTATTGCATCATCATTAAATATATGATTTAGCCTCCTCTTTACCTGACTCCGCAAGTCCACGTTTTGTATTTAAAAAAGACACTCCCTTTGAATGATTTACCTGGGCAAATCTAGGACAGAATGTTTGATGCAAAATGGACTACATCCCATACAGGTGGCTCATTAAAGGGAATACTGTGAACTAATCCAGAAGCTCCTCATATTGCCATGTTGGATTTATTGAAAATAACTTTTACAAAAATGTACTAAATGTGTTTCAATCTGGAAATGTATCAATGGGGAACATGTAAATGTACCCAATCAAAAATCCTGATAGATCTGCAAAACAAATACAGGAGAGTTGTAGTTTCGTAAGAAACGATTTAGAGTGAGATCAAATAGCAGGAGGCAACTAAGTCTCACTTTTAATGTTTGGTAAACAGGGACGTTCCAATTTTTAGGGAATAAGCTAACGGGAATGATTTGAAATGTTTAGTACCATGATGACTATGCCATCTTTCCTGAAGGTTCAAGTCATGTTCATGCACAAGTGAACAGTGCATCTTCAATGCACTTTGTATTAGAAAGTC